CGCTGTGTATTTTTCAGTAGCTCTCTACTATATAATAATTATATGTATGTTATCATGATGCAGGGCCCCGACGGTAGAATACATCGATACTGCTTGGTCCAGTATTCCTTGAACGGCGGAAAAGAACATCCTATCCTACAACGTCAACATAAAAACTCGAAATCACAGTCTCGTGAACCATACATTCGAACTTGGAACAGCATGAAAGACCTAAACAAGCAGAAGATAGGTGAAATGAACCCACGAGAAGTTGTGCACAAAACTGTTGCACACGATTGCGGAGGAATTGCAAGTTGTTCGAGTATAGGACAACTACCTCAAGATAGACAATAGGTAATTTTCAACATGTACTCTTGATAACTCTTTTCACATAAGTGTCATTAGCCTGATGTGAGGATTGAGCCAACAATTTCGGAGGTGAAATATGGTCCTTGCACTGTCGCTTGTGCCTATAGGTGCACAAAAATTAAGTTGGCCCTGTTGTCACGTGCATACATTTTGGCACTTGGGTACTACATTTAACATCTAAATAAAAGCTTACTAAATGGCTACATTCTTTGTCAAAAATTGCAGACGCGAGTATGTGCGCAAATGGTAGAGAAATTGTTTTCTTTTAATACAGATTTACAGTGGCAGTATGTTACAGCTACGGTGCATATAATTGTATACTAAATTTTCTTAGTTTAAGGATCTTTCAAGATACAAACAACAAGCAAGAAAAAGTCAGAAGAAAACCCTTTCAGAAAACGCACATGACGATGATCCTTGGTTCCGCCTTCTGGGAGAAAGTAAAAAACAAGCATCAAATAAAAGTATAGCCTTTATCAGGGATGTGAGAGTCGCTCCCGAGCCTCTATGTGTGATGACGTCTGACAGACAGTTAAATGACCTCAAGCAATTCTGCTGCAATCCCATAGAATATCGTCCATTTACTGTTGACCCAACATTTGATATCAGATATTTTAATGTCACGCCAATAACATATCAACATCTGGCACTCAAGAACAGACGTGACGGAAAGCATCCATCTATTATTGGCCCAGTCCTTCATGATAAGAAAACAGAAGAAAACTGAAGAAACATATTCCACTTTCAGCGGAATATTGAGGACACTTCAACCAGGGTTGCTGGAACAATTGGCATTCGGTACTGATGACGAACAGGTCCTAATATCAGGATTTCAAAATAACTTTGATAGATCAATCAACCTACTCTATGAATTACATTTGCAGAAAAATGTTGAGAAGAAGCTGCAAGAATTGCAAATCCCAAAACAAAGGAAGAGCGAAATTGTGGCTGATATCTTTGGAAGGATGCGTTCTGGTGTTTTAGAAAGAGATCTTACGGATTCTAAGAGTGAAGAAGACTTTGATGCAATGCTTACCAACCTTGAGGAAAGATGGTCGGCTTTGGATGCTAATGGTAAAGTCTTTTTCCAATGGTTTAATTCCAAGAAACGCAATGAATTCCTCAACTCAGTCATCAGCCCAGTACGGCAAAGAGCTGGTCTTGGTTGCCCTCCTGAGCGATTCACAACAAACTGTTCGGAACAAACAAATTGATCGATCCAAGAGTTTGTAAAATCCGAGTGCAAAGAAACTCGATGAATTTACGTTTTGTGTCTGTTTGTCAAAATTAATCAATCAACAAAAACAAGAGATTGAGTTGGCTGTTCTTGGTCACGGAGAGTATAGACTCAGAGAAAAATTTAAACATCTCGGAGTGTCAGGTCAGGATTGGGAAAGCATGCAAGACAACCAAAAGGAAAAGGTTTTGCAGCGACTGCACAAAGTGTCTCTGGGAGAAGCAAAATCTAGCGCAACAAACATCACCGAAATTGTCCAGGGTAGTGACAACACCATGCTGAACCAGTTTTTTGAAGTTGGCATTGATTGGATTCCACGGGAAATACTGTCTGGTATTGTACAGAAAGCTCTAACCTTAATCGACAGAGAGGGCGCTGTATCACTCATGCTGCTGATACGATAGTCGTGGTATCTGCATCTAATCCATGGAAACCTCACGTTGTGAATATTTTTCCCAATAGAAAAGCGGAGTGTGATTGTTCAGGTTTTTCATCATCATCTGTTTGTGCACACTCAGTGGCTGCATGCATAAAGCAAATTAGAGTAACAGAATTTCTCAAGTGGCTTTTGTGTACAAAGCAAAATGCTGGAGGAATCAACTTTTCCAAAGCCATAACATATGGAATGCCAAAAGGTCGGGGAAGAAAGAGAGAGAAAGCGCCATGAAAGAAGGGGAAAAGCAATGCTAGAGAAGAAGTGACAACCGTCGTATCTCGAGTCAGCAGCAATAGTGATGATGTCTTCCAAGTAAATGATCTACAAAGTAATCAACAACAGTTTGGGCATTCCATTTTGCCATCGTTTGTAGCGCCCTTAGCCGCACAACCACCTCCATTTATACCACAACAGTGCCAAAGAAATCTGCCTATGGCACAAGCATCTGGAGCACATTTTACATGTACACAACCTGCACATTTTGCCCCGCTTGCCTATTTCAGTGGATCAACAATTTCCATCATCATTATCGTTGACATTGAGTAACTTTAATAATGTTCCACAATGCATTCCAAGGTAGCCATGTCCAACACCTGGCCAGTTCATGGTATACCTACTGCAGTTCTGCCCAGGCCGAACATCTACCTGTTTTGGATGTGGCAATCCACTCAAAGAAGGTCAAGGTGCTGCCATTCTCGGAGCTCCAATGGATTTGGTTGTTGTTTCAAAGATGCTAAGAGAATGGATATTCTGTCATCAACTGATAAGATGATCTTTCCAGGCGCTGTGACATTTGAAATATTTACAATATTTACAAGGAGAATGAGAAATTAAAGCTATATACATAACAAATCAATTCTACAGTTTATTTTCGAATATTTTTAGGGAAGTGGATTACTAATTTCAATTGGTATAGAATTCCATACCACTGCTCCATTATATATTCGAGACTATTTTTCAAAAAAATTGTGTTTGGTTTAGGGATAACAGAATTGTAGTCATGAGCTCGTGTACCATGACTGTGAATTAAATTCCATCGGTTAAATGGCTGTGAAAGATAAGATGGGCCTAATTTGTGGTACACTTTGAACATTAGACAAGATTTTTGTTTCATTCGCCTATCTTCTAGTGTCGGCCAGTTTAAGTTATTTAAATATTTTGTTATTTTTCTTTTCTGCAACTATCCCACATGCATAGAACTACAATAATCAAAATAGGGGAGAATGATATTTCAACTAGCGTGTTAATTGGCATCAATTACGTGTTCTTCCCCCAATAGATTTTCATCAATCATAAGCCTCAGATTTTGTTACAACTACTCACTTTAACTACTCACTTAGGATATTTATTCGGACTTTGGAGCCAATTAACATATACAGTTATATTTGTATCATCAGCATACATATTAGGGATGGATTCAGACAAGCAGCCAGTTAACTCATTGATGTATATCAGAAATAACAATAAGAGGAAAAATAAACAATTTTTTTCTTTTCCAGCATGCCCAAACTGCTAGCCAAACAAACATAAGATTGTTTGTCAACAAAATTTCTAATCACTGTCAACATGCCCCGTGTGGAGTGCTCATCAAGGTCGTATTTTTTTTTACGATTCACTGTAAAGTAACCAGGATTATTTTTTATACTTCTTGTTCACATCTGTCCTGGAAAATACCATATAGCAAATTGTGTTCCTCATATATATTATACCAATAAACTGAACACTGTCTTCGATATAGATACACCTAGAACATGGAAAACTCTGTGTAGCAAGTGTTGTTCATTGCAAACAAACTGCTGTTCATAAATATGTAGGAATGTATAGTCATAGTTCATGATATATTGTGATTGTAATTTTATGTATTGTTATATGTTTAGTGTGATTTTTGTAAAATGTTTGGTGAGACTCAATAAGGAACAAATAGTTCTGTTGTCCTTTCCATCAATCGTGCGATTGTTAAGTTAATCGCTGTTAATCAGTTAAACGCTGTTAATCAGGTCATCTTTGTAGGTGGTCCGATACTCTTGAAACGCATTATTAAATTCGATGTAAAATTTCATCTGTAGGTTTTATAATCCATTTAATATAGGCACTCTTCATAATCCCCTTAGAATATAAAAAATCTGGAAGCCCCTTGGATGCAATTTGTGGAAGTTACCCCAGAAGATATCGTTTACTAACCCCTTTAGGATATCACTTTTTCCCCCTTCAATATCACTAAAACACATAATTTTTGCCATTTTTTTAAAAACTCAAGCTACCCCCTTTAAGGGCCTGCTATATGATCCTGCTTAGACGGGATGTATTCATCTCGCCTAGACGGGAAACTCACCTAGTGTTTATAAGGACAACTGATACATTTCCAGGATGAAGCCATTTAAGTGCTTGACGTCATATTTTTGTTGCAATAAAGGCATTTACAAATCCTCAAAAGGGAAACGTTCATCCCGCCTAGCCGGGATGAAGTGTTTACATGGGAATTTTTCGTCCCGGCTAGGCGGGATGAAGTGTTTATATGGGAATTTTTCATCTCTTTAGGCGGGATCCCTGCATGTGTTACCAAGATCCTCTCTAGGCGGGATAAGTGACAGGATCATATCAACACTCTTTAGAATTTGTATTACGAGCGGGATCTCGGTAAGCATGAAAATTTTAAATGAAGACCCTTCCTCATCCATTGGATATCGAGACACTTCAATAGTTGGAGCACACGTATTACATGGAATGGCTCAATAGTTTCCTAATTTACAGTAATTCAATATTATATATTAAACAATCTCCTAGCTATATTCTCATAATTTCGTATACATTAAACTGTTCTGTCTGTTTATTAAACCAACCTGATGATTCATATATAAACTACAAACAAAATATTAAATTACAGTTGAAACACTTCTCGTGTAAATTTTTGAATGAAATATTTGTTTGAAAACTTCTACATAGGGTCATGTCTTATCAAAACAAGATTTTATATAAAAGATTATGGACACATAAAATGGCCAAGTACATTCTTACCATATTTAGTCGAAATGCGACTAAATGTGGACGTTTCTTGGCCATGTAGGTTTTGGAAAAGCATTTTACAATGCTTGGTTATGCCTTCATCTAGCACCAACTGACTGTGCTTCACTGTAAAATGCTGCATTAAGCTGTTATCTTCTAGGAAAAATTTAATATCATTTGTATCGTCAAAACATGCTGAACATACATATTGTCTTGCCGTTTACTTTTGCCTCTTGAAATGATCTATTTGCCAATGACAAAACAATCGCATTTGCATCCACAGCCATCTTGTCCAATATTCATGAGCAATGAATGTGTTCCAGTCTTTGCTCAGAAATATGGCGCCATGTTGGATACAATAAATGGCAGAGGTTTCCTCAATTTCATTATCCCTGTCACCCCCTGCACAGCCACTTCAATGTCTAGCCTGCTACTACCTGCAAGTCAAACTCATACAAAGAAAAAAACTACAAAGCCTCTGCAGAGGAGAGTGACATTTTGCTGTTAAATATATCCTGTTGTGTGTGGAATTAAGATTGTTGATGCATATTGATATAAATATACTTCCACCAATTCCAAATAAAACATTTTGAGCTATCGCTATTGCTTCATGGCAAAATTGTAAATGTATTTGTAAAAGACAGCAACATTGAAAAACATTTTAGTCACCGTTTATCAATGGCAAAAATAGTCCATGTAAAAACATTGACACCAAAAACGGTTCTGCATATTTATTTACACACAACATATCATGTGTTATTTTATAGTTCCATTTTATACATCAAGATTAAAATGTACGAGAAGTTAGAGAAGAACAATTGCGACTTTATATTTGCAGGCAATATAACATAATTGCTATTGTTTTATGTAAATGTACTTGATAATGGAAAGTTAGGGCTTGGACAACTGTTTCAATTTTACAGAACAACTTTCTTACAAAGTGTAAGCACTTTGATCTATCATTGAAACTTTCCCAAGCGGAAGTGCATGACGTTTCAGGGGAGGTGCAAAAATTATCAGGGGAGGTGCAAAACGATCTCAGGGGAGGTCCGCACCTCCCCACAAAATACGGCCATGCTTTAATGAACATCACTGTAGAGTCCTTACAATGTGAGCCTGATCAACAGCAGTTTGGTATGTCACCAATAGAAGATCCTTCCAGTGCTACTATAAAGCCCCGTTTACACGAGCAAATTTTATTTGACAAATTTAATTTTATCAAATGCATTTGATCAAAAGCTAGCATGCTAGCTTTTGTTCAATTGCATTTGTCACAAATTTATCATCTACACGAGCAAAATATCTTTGACATATGAAATTTGTCAAATAAAATTTGCTCGTGTAAACGGGGCTTAAGGGAAGAGCCTTTACCAAGCGAGATTGATCAAAGCCAGTCTAATCTGCCTTCAATAGAAGATCCTTTGGCAAGCTAGAATGATCAAAACCAAAAGTGTCCAGCCTTGCTATGAGAATGACACAACAATGGAAATCAATTGCAATGAAACATTTCCAAATGTTCCTCATCAGGATGTCCCAGGTGTATTCCTTCAAGACATTGAATCAGTTCCAACAATCACGCTTTTGACAGATAAATTAAAGAAGTAGCACAAGAAAATTGAAATGTTGAAGGAAAAGCTCAACCTCAGTCTTTTTACTGAGCTAGATCACCATCTTGTTGTTTACTTCAGCTAGATCACCAAGTTGGTGAAAACCATGTTGTTCAGTTGAAAAGAGCATCATCAAGAGTTACTTAAACATTTTACTAAAGTTTACTATGAAAACTACCTGAGCTGAAAGTGCAGACTCTGTCTCAAACATTTCACAAAATATTTACACGGTGAAGACTGTGTCTCAAATCTTTAGATTTATGGTGAAGACTGGTACCCAAGCTGAAAGTGCAGACTCTGTCTCAAACATTTTATTAAAGGCTATGTAAAGTCTGTAACATAAACAAATGCTTTGTTTCCATTTTGAATTCAGTGCTATACAGTTGTAAAATATTAGATATTGTTCTGGTTCACTATGCTTGTAAATGAATACAGACTAGAGATTCAATTCAAAAAAGTTCGGAAGGTGCGAAATATTAATAACATTCCAATGGTCGGGTCCCGACCATTGGATTGTATAACAACATTCCAATGGTCGGGTCCCGACCATTGGATTGTAGGCCTGCGCAGAACGTATGTGCAAAACAGACTTTACATGGTCTTTAAATTTTTACTATGAAACTGCCTGTGCGACTCTGCCTCAAACATTTCACTAAAGATTTTAAGTGAAAACTGTTACCCAAGCTGAAAGTGCAGACTCTGTCTTAAACATTTTACTAAAGATTTACTATTTAAACTACCTAAGCCGAAAGTGCAGACTCTGTCCCAAACATTTTATTAAAGGCCATGTAAAGTCTATAATGTAAACAAACACTTTGTTTACATTTTGAACCAGGGCGGCAGGGCGCTTATATAGTGGGCGGTGCAATGCGCTGATGTCGGGGTGATAGATGTGTCATGCGGAAAAGGACTGGCACGAGCATGCTTTTCGACAAAAGTTGACTAGGAGCGTGGTTCTTCATGCTCTTGTATTTTCGCTGTTTTTTCATTAACTATGAAATTTTTGATGACTTTTTTGCACTGTAACGACGAAGTAGTAACTAGTTAAGGGTGTGAATGTTCTTTGGCTAATAATGTTGAACTTTAATTCTTTGACGACCGTTCCAAGCCACACGGTTTCACATTACATTACGACACAATGTTTCTAATATAAATATCTCGGCGAGTATTTACCCCCCTTTCAAATAAAAGCCACCATTGTAATCCTTAAAAAATAACCTTTCGAACGGGGGTCAAGTAACACAAAACAAAACAATCCTATATTTACTCACCGCTTGGCCTAAGATTCTAAATTTCATATCCAAAAGATCTTGAATATCTCTTGAACTTTTTGTAATTTGCTGAACGGCTATATGTGTAAAATACTCTTTGTGTTCAAGCGCTTTCGTGTACAAAATTTCGTTTGAGTACGGCGAGTAGAAATATTTATTTTGAATGTTTCAAGATGTCGGGTTTTACTCTCACCGCGTCACAGTCGCGTACATTGTGCAATAATTGGCCAATAAGAAGGCTCCTGTGGTCGGGACGACGTCAAACTCACACGTGTAGGTGCAATTTAGTCGTATTTCCGGTTGGGATTAACTCACTTCGAGCTCACAGTCAGACAAGAAATGGAAATATATTAATAAAAGATACAGATTTGAAGGTACAGGCGTGCAAATAACACTCTAGATAGTGTTTTTGATGGGGATTCGAACAAGACTATTACAAAAGACGATATGTTCGAAGGGGCCAAAGTTATTTTCGGAAAAAGGTATGGCTAGTCTATATTTTTGTTCAGACAATTGCATAATTTGATACAATATGACTAAAAATATATCATAATTTGATACAAAATGACTAAAAATATAGTGAGGAATTAGTTGCATCTTTTATTTCTGAATCGAATGGTGGTATTTCTGTCTTCATAGCATGCACTGAACCGAACATACGAAAACACAAAGCCATCAACCGGTCGAGGATGAATGAATTGGGCTGGGCCGCTAAAGTGTTAAAAGAAATATTGAGGATAATGACTCTGGCTTTTGATGGCTTCGATCGAGGGAAATTTTCAAAACAACATTTGGGCATGTCAAGTCGTCCAAACTTTGGGTATGTCAATAATTATAGTTGTGTTGTTTAATATCATAACGTTTTCATAATAATATTTGCTGTGTTGGTATAATGTGTACTCAGGTGAATAAGATGCTTGTGTGATGTTACTCTGAGTGTATATCCACACCGGGCAGACTTGAAAAATATGCCTGGCCACGGTGGGATTCAATCCTATCACCTTTGGAATACTAGCCCAATGCTCTGCCAACTGAGTTACGCGGTCAGGTCGATTCGAGTATGCGATATTTCGGAACTGAGTCTAGTTCCTTTGATATCAGTGTAATGTAATAATCATGATATTTGCTGTGTTGGTGTAATGTACTCAGGTGAGTAAGATGCTTGTGTGATGTTAGTCTGAGTGTATATCCACACCGGGCAGACTTGAAAAATATGCCTGGCCACGGTGGGCCAAATATTGCATACTCGAACCGACCTGACTGCGTAGCTCAGTTGGTAGAGCATTGGGCTAGTATTCCAAAGGTTGTAGGTTCGAATCCAGGCATATTTTTCACAATTATCAGAGTTGGGTATTTTTTTGTTAGGTATTTTTTTGGTTACCTTTTGCCTCGTTTGGCAATCATTTCACTGGAAATGAAGTAAACAAAATTTGTATTTTCACTTATGTTACGACTATTATTATATCAATAATTTCACAAGCTTTTTACAGAATTTAGTTAAGGTAACTGTAAGCTTCATACATATTTTGCCCTTCGGCCATTTCATCAAACCTCAAATTGCTTGGACATATGCAGAGCGCAATGGTGTGAAAAGTTTTGTCCAAACTTCGAAATTTTGTGATCAGCTAGCCAAGATGACCTGTATTTAGGATCAGGGGCGTAACGTGACCATTTTAATTTGGGGG